GGTCCCGGCTGTCAAGTGTATTGCAAAGAGCTCAATCATAGCCCCTAGGAGTTCGTTCCCTACCCTGAGCTGTTCCACCTGTCGCGGGGTCCCAGCCAATAGGCCCCAGAAACCGTGATGGGAACGTAATGGTGGGGGCCCCATGTTGGGGGCCCATCGGACTGCTGATCATGTCTCACATGGCCCCCCCCCGCCTGACAACACCACCCGACGTGCACGAATGTGTTCCTTCCAAACCTTCAAGGACTCACGACGCATCACATTGCCTAGTACGGGGTCGATGGCGATGTCGATCGACAATGCACAGACCGAGAAATCCGTACTGTATTCAGCCCATTCAAGCGATGCCTGAATGTCCCCTGGCCGTCGTCGTCCACAGTAGAGGTTGAGAATGTAGTATTCTGACCGTCGCATGGCCGATGGCAATGTCTGCCCAGAATTGCTTGTGTACTGCTCGGTAAAGAACATCCGAGACGGGTATCGTTCGTGCTGCGCTGGCGGGTATGGGGCAGGTGAGCAGTCCTCCTGTTGATCGGGGGACGGCGGAGGGGGTAGTAGGGCTGCGCAGGCCTCTGATGACCTATACGGGTCACTTTCTGGCAACAATTGTTTTTGCATATGCCTGTGGGACCAACTCCGCAACGTCACCGGCAAGCTGTGTAAGTGGCCCAGACACGCGTGTAGTAGGTACAATCACGTGTCGGCGTGGTATGCACATATGGTTGGTATGCTTAAGCCATCTGGGCATTCTGGGGAGGGGTTTGAAGATGGTAAGCAGGGTTGTCCCTAGTCAGTATGTCGGCGAGTAGGCATCTGGGCGAGTCGATTGATAGGTGGTCGACAAGATGTGGCCGAGCGTTGAACTCTAGTAAACACTATGCACGTCCCGTCGAACCCTGCATATCCCCGAGCAATCGTCACGAGTTGTCGATGCATACGTGCTATGTGTGTGCGCAAAGCGCGGTGACGAGCAAACACCTCACCGCACCAAGGGCACTCCATCTGTGTCACGGCTGCACTCGCTGGCGGCTGCACTATGAGTCCTCTCTCGTCTGTGTACACACGGTGGGGCACTCCAGCTGCATGCACCTCCGCGAAGCAAAGCGACTCGGTGTGCTGCGCCAATGTACATCTGCTCTGATGCTGCGTGTACGCGTGCACTCCAATGCGTATGATGCGCTTCCATGCCGGTTGACTACGCCGAATGAGCGACTCCCACGCTGAGGTCATCGGCTGGGAGTGGGCGATCCTGACACTGTTTGACTGACCGTCGCAGCCATGTCAGGTGCTGAATCCACTGGCCCAATGTCGTACGCCGTCGTTTCTGCTCTTCGTCGTTGGCTGCACCCCACTCCGCTGGAACAAGAGCAAAGGCCAGTTGAGGCCCTGCATGGTACAAGGACCCCAACAGACGTAGCCTAGCAGCCTGTAGTGTGATATCTGGGGAGGGTCTCTGTAGTTGGGCCAGGACCAGCTTGTCGGACACCTGGGAGATCTCCTCTTGGAAGCGGACACATGCGGCAGCATGGTATGTCTTCGTGATCTCTACACGTGCTAATTTGGCCTCAGCTGTTGTGAGCGCAGGCCAAGCACCTGCATTGTACAGTCGCCCTGACATGACGAGACTGCCAGCAAGCACAAGTCGGTGATGTAGGGAGAGATCATCAGTCGCAAAGACGCGCCTACGTAGTACTTGGAGAGAGGACGCGGTGGATGCAGCACGATAGCGTATCCCTGGCATCATCGACGCTCCTGCGTCGAACACCGAGCCCAGATGTATGTAGTTGTGCACTATGGGCGCGCTCACTGTTCCCAGTATGTCCGAGGTGCCCGTGACGTGCCCGCTATGCTCGTGCCATGCTGCATGTCGCGCCTGCTTGGTGCCCTGACCGCGCCACATGATGAGGGCTGCCGTCTTGGACGGCCCAACGTTCATTTTCTGCTCCCGTCGTGAAAAGGCCTCCGACACAAACACCAACGACCTGGACAGTGCATCATACAACTGTGTGACAAGCATGATCAGGATAACTGTACCATCGTCGGCGTATGAGATGTCAATCAGGGGGACCTCTGCCTGGGGCTCTTCAAAGTCACCCTGCATGAGTCCACCTAGAGTTCTGGGCCTGACTGTCCGCGGCAGTAAGTACGGATAGCCTTCTTCATGCATGCGCTCACGCACTTTCCGCATACAGTCGGCCATCTGTATCTCAAACAATACATCCGCGAGTGGCTGTCCCGGGAAGAATGACCGTTGAGGCAACGATACCTGTCCAGAGCCTCCGCAGACAAACCGCCGTGCTTGGTAACGCTGTTCCACCTGGGCCACCGCACAGTGCCGTTTTTAATATATGCTCCGCGTGCGGACCATGTATTAAAAGTAAAGGGTTGATTAATAAATGCAAGGATGAGCTTATGCATTAATTTATTCATACATTAATCATGTATTCAAGATCCCATTGAAAAATCCCATGTATCAAAAACTGCCCTGTATGGGGGTCGA